ACACACATGGAGTTTCCATGTATGGGAACCCCTGGTTGGCTAACATGGGGGATTGTGAGGGTGAATGGGGGTCCTTCACCTTCGGGAGGGCGCATCCCCTGCTGTGATTCATCCCGGGTCTGCGCTCCCCTCTAGACATCGGCGTCCACAAATTGACGGGTCTCACACGTGGATTGGCAACCCCCCAGAAAGGAAAAAACAAGTCTACAGTCCAAACCCAAAAAGTGACTAAAGTCTAGGAACTCAGGGAGTTCATTCATTGATCCCCTGTTTGCATTTAACCTGTTAAGGGGCTGCCATGCACCGATGTCGGTCAACACCTGGAGCATTGTTGCTTTGTTGCAAGTCAGTTCTCAAGTGGCTGTGGGTCAAAACACCGTACCCCCCCAGTCAACATCCCAATCCCGACTAAAATAGACTAAAATGGGTGGTGCACCTCCCCCGACCTCCCCCAAATGGTACCAATGGTTTTGACCCACAGCCAAGTCACGGGCAGAACCTGGAACCCTGTTTCCGAAACTGCGCTCGTCTTGAAGGAACCTTGCGGCCGGGTCTACATTGGTGGGAGAGCGAGCTTCTTTACTGGGCTGTCCTCAGATCCTCTGGTAAAACAATACAAATATTGGGTTAAATAGAAACCCCAACTAAACCAACTAAAACCTAAAATACAGTGCAGCATGATTGCGGAAAATGGACGCTTGTGATAGTACGAGTAGGTCATCCCTATTGCCAAATATGCGGCGATCGACAAGGCTCCCAGTTAAGAGGGTTATGAACTCCCCCTTCACAACCAGACTGCCGCCAAGCAGAACAACAGGCAAAGTTCCGGCAAGGCACCGAAGTAGGGCTCGCAAACGAACTTGATAAAGGCGATCCTGAGAAGGTTGCAGCAGCAAAGCGCCCAAAACACCTGCTGGGTGTGTCTTACGTACTCCGACGGTCGGGTTACTTCAAAACGAAACAGCACAACATTTGATGTTTTCTTGGGGGGTGGGGGGGGCGGCGGTGGGACAGATTGCCATATTTGAAGACAAACTCAGATGTGAGGTGCTCACGTAATTTCCGGCATGTGTTGCGGCACTGCAAGAGCAAGGAGCTTCATGGGCCTTGTGAAAACCCCTTTGCTTAAATCCGCCTGAGCTGCATGAACATGAACACGGCACTCAAACGGTTTAGCGGAATCTTATCATGGTGTGTCCACTCCGGCGTTGGGCGGACCACCTCTTTGGACATAGGCTTGTCAAATGGGTTGCGGAAACCCACCAATTGGTGAGCTGTTTTTCGGCTCCCCTGTCTAAGCAGAAGCTCCCTAGAGCCTCCATCTGGCCGCTGGAACCCCTGGTACTATGGTTCGAACATCCTAAGCACCGAAGAGGCAGTTGACTGGGCTTGGTCCAAGTTTCAGACAAACCCGAAGCGCCAGATTCGTTGGATGGGTCCGGCCATGCAAAAGAGGAAAAGAAGGTCCTATACCAAAAAATCCGCAGAAGTAACACACCAAGTGGCGTTGAATTGGACCCTGAATGGGTTCTATCAAATGGGTTCTTTTCGGACGCTCTATGATCCTGTGGTGCAAGCGAGCAAGGGATCCGAATCCGTTCAGAAGGGGTCCCATTTCGGTTGAACCGCGGGTTGACCCCAAGGCCCTACAATGGCTGCGAAATCCGGTTCGCACCACCTAAGAGACCGTGCTGATTCTCAGCAGAAAATGCGGGAATGACCACTATAACAATGCCCTATGGTTTCCTTTAAGGGAGTCTTCTTCCGGCTCATTCCCAACACCCGGAACGGTCTACCTACATCAGCAAGTTCAGAAACCCGACCGAAGGATTCGAATCTCAACCCAAATACCGTAGCAAACATTATGGATTCATTCTCAAGGTTTGGATTTCGCAACCATCCACAGTTGGGGTCGGAAGCTTTCAGGTTTTCACCACCCGAAGATCTTGGAACCAACGTTGAAGCGGCAGCGTTTTTTTCCCCCCAATCAAAAACAGCATTCCATGTGCAGCTACGTCCCGTGGAAAACAATCAAAAATGCATATTCCAGTGAGATATCTCCTCAAACACCAGGGGAAACGCACACCTATCCTCCAGTAGAGAGGTCAGAATAAGCGTACCTTTTTTTCTCTGTAGTCTATTGTCAACCAAAAAAGAAACGGTGAGAAGGGCACTACTGCCGGATCTAGCTCTCTCTCCAGGAGTCCATTGCCATCGCTGGATACAAAAAAAAAGCACCACCTGGATACAAAATGGTACCAAAACGGTTTTGACCACCACAGCCATATATCCATGTAGGTGTGGCTCAACATTACAGAGCTAGGGTTACGCAAATGATAGTGTTTGGTTCCATTTACCAAGGTGCCATTTTGGTACATGTTTTTGAGCCACAGCCATTTCAGCCGATAGCCATCCACGTAAGGCCATCTCCCTCGGCTTTTTCCGAGGCTTCGACTGCCCAGCCGGCACCGCGTTGAAGCCCGCCGTGCGGTCGCACATGCGGCTGATGGGCCTCGAAAAAAAGAACAAAACGAGAAGTCGAAATAAGGACCCCCCCCAAACCTTTTTTTTTTTGTGTGTTTTTGTTGGTGGTTTCCCTTTACTCCCCCAACATCTTAAAAAAGTGGTGTCCATTTACCCCCCTCAACATCTCAAAAAAAAGAAACGGGGTTTCCCTTTACCTCCCCAACAGCTTAAACGAAAAACGTGGTTTCCCTTTAACCCCCCCAAACATCTTAAAAAAGGAAACCAAGCGGTTTCCCTTTCACCCCCAAAAGGGGAATTGTCCTGAAAAAAGTTATGACACCGTGCAGGCCTCCTGCGTAGCTTCATGGAACGTACCAACGCGTTTTCCATTATGTTAGACACACAACAAACAAACTGACATGGGGCCCGTAAAACCTGCACGGCCTCCAACATCCGTGGCATAGTCATATCGTTGAGCCTCACGAAGCACTTGATTGCCCAATGCATTTCTGCCGATTTGTGCGGGATAGAAACATGGGGTTGTAAACAATCCCCCTTGGAAAAGGTTAAATCCCCAAATCAAGGCCCCAGTGGCTCGAAGGTGAATTTTGGACCCCTCGATTTCGATGAGCCCGTTCAGCTATGCCCCAAACCCAACGCGCATGTTCAGCGGTTTGTGCAGGCCTAATCCTCAACTTTCGGGAACCTGCCCGGGCCTCGAACATTCTATGACATTGGGTTCCCTCTAGTTCGCTGTCAAATAGGGGGTCCGGAAAAACACGTCTCTACCAGTACCCCCCCCCAAAAAAAAAGAAGAAGAAACATGCATTCTAGACAGGACTTGGGATTTTGGACATGGGACAGAGCAGTTGTTGGGGGGTGCTGGTGGTGTGCGTTTGACAAATCAAACATTATGGACAATTTAGCACCCAGAAAGGTGGATGGAATTGCCGATCGTTCATAGGGAAGCTGGAATTGGATTCACAGCATTCACAAAACCATACAAGGCCATTGGCCGACCCTGCCAAAATGCATAACACACAGGGTTTCCCATATTAGGCGTGTCTTTTTCAGCCCAGCCCCCACCACCCAAACAAATACTGGTTTTCCCTTTGGTTTCCGTTAAATTCTGTTCAAAGCTACAAAACAAAGTACCTTCAAAACAGACAGAACCATATTATCGTGCTTTCTAGGCCCTAGGATCTAGGGTTGATTCCTCATTCTGTTTAAGAACCATCAGTTTTGCTGGGTTTGCGGAGGTCTTCTAGTTCCTTGGAAAGAATGGGAAGGTACCCCTGTATACTGTCCCATGCATCCAAAGTACTCGCATCCCCACCTTGTCTTCAAACGCAATCCAGTTGAATCGGTCCCTTGGTACCTTCTCAGGATGTACCAAAAAGGGGGTATTTTGGTACAACCTAAGGTAGTTACCAAGAGCTGGGCTCGCCTCCACTCAAGGGAATCCCACTTTCAATTTGGGTGTTCAAAAGGTGATGTTTGGATATCCCCAAAGAGGCTCACGGGGCGCCTCTGTTTTTTGTGCGTGACTAACTTAAAATGGGAAAGACTACAGTATCTGGGGGAATCACTTATAGGAGACAAACCCGAAACAAATCCCTTGTTTGCTGGCCCCAACGTCCAAACTGCTTGTTTCCCACCAACATGCGAAAGTCGAAAACTGGGAAAGTGAGACGAGCGCTGATTGTAAACAACCGGGCGACTGGGTTCGGAGAGTGAACGCGGGGAGTAATTAAAACCGAATGATTCACAAGATGAGGCGTGCAACGATCTGCATCCTCCCACCAATTAACATGGAACTGGGATCTGGTCCCTTTAAAAGCAAAATGGTCTTTCAGGAACCTCCCGAACGTCAGGTTCCATGGTGGGTCCCTAGGACCAACAAGTACCCCTGGATCAATCACGAGCTGGCCCAAATCAACAAACATCTTTGCGGCACCCCAAAAAGGATATCGATCTTTTTGTGAGCCGGTTTTTGCGGAAATTTTACCGGGTTCCAATATGCCCCTCCCAATGAACCATACAGTACCACACATTTTGAACGAGCCTCAATTCGGTTGCTTCGAACTAGGGGAACCACCAACATGGTTGGCTTCCTCCGGGTGTCCCTTTAAACTCCGAATGCAGCACGCCCCAAAAACGACCTGCCTGTTTGGACCCTTCTCAACCTGACCTTCCATTTGCTGAAGTCCCCAGGAACAAATAAGAATATGTCCAGTGATAGGTTCGCTTGAAAAACAGCGGAAGGAAATAGTTTGCCGAAGTAGGAACAATTAAGAATATGTCCAGTGATAGCTTCTTTAGTCTCCTTTGAAATGAACAATAAAAACAAACACATAATAAGGATACAAATGATAATAATTAATTATAATAGTAAACAACATAAATCCGGGGCAAGTGGAAGGAAGTGACACCTGACTGGAGCGACTGGGGTGCCACGCAGGTTTAAGCGCTGCTCCTCATCCCCTTGGGCCCAGAACTCCAGGTTCACCCGCTCCGTCCAGTCTGAAGTCGAATCGAAGCCATGTTCGGGCTTGGGCTGAAGGCCGCAGATCTGTCCCCAGATCCCCCCAAATCCGGGCTGAAGTCCCGGATTTTCCCGTAAAGTGGGGTGCTTCTCTTGTTGTGAACACTTGGGCATATGAACCCAAATGGCCTGAAGTTCGGACCCCCAACCCCAGCAAAAGGGCGAGATAGCCCTCGTAAAGTGGGTTGGAAACTAGGGAAGCCAAGGGACCGGTATGAATACGGGCTATGTACTTCCGCCCTGAGACCCTAAAGTGAGAAACTCGCGAGCCGACGAAAAGTACGTTGAAGCCTAAGGAACCGGATGCCACCGAGCTTGCCGCAACGATGCTGGTTGCTCCGGCCGATTCTGAAGATGGCCGGGAGCTCCGGGACTTTTGGAGTTCCGGTGGCTTCAGCCTTGTGTTCATCTTGCCTTTCTTTTTTTTTTTTGCGGCGGTTCGTCGTGATAATTTTGAGGTCTCTACGTCTGTGCCGGGAATGTCTAGGTCTCTGTCGGCTTGTTTGGGGTAAACGCAAGGTGGTATGTCAGCTCCTACTCTGCAGGCTGGAACTTGTGCAGCACCAGGATTAATTCTGCACTGCTGCGCAGTGGTTGCTGTGCTATACAAACTACAAAATGAATCAACATAATTACATGACGCAGGATGGAGAGTCATTGTGTTATGGAACTGTTGAAGAGTCATTGCATTCAAACGCAGGCGTGCGCTATCCCACCAACGATATCATGGGCTTCAAGATCGACTTTTGACATAATGGCTTTCTTCAACATGCAAAACGGGTGAAGCTTACTGGCACGGCTTGGTAAGCTTGACCGTGTGTGTGTGTGTGTGTGCGCGCGCATCCCTCTGAACGGTTATAGCCAGAGAAACAACACCAAGCGAGCTCTTTTGCTGGTGCTCAGTAGGGTATGATCCAGGGTGTTGGGAATGCACCTAGGGTTCTTTCAGGAAACCATAGGGGATGTTTTATAGGGTCATTCCATTTCTCATTCCCTGCTCAGAACCAGCAAGTTCTGGGGCCCAAACACATACAGCCTGTCAACCACATTGCACAAGGCTGCAGCCACACCTTGCTGGTGTGGGATCTCGAGACCTATACACCCAAAGAAGAATGGGAAGGTAATATGGGTGTCTTTTTGTACGAATCGGACCCCCCCCTCAAACAAAAAGAAAGAACGGCTTCGCTTTTCCTTGAAAACCACGAGAAGAAAGGGTCCCAACTCCGGCACAGACGAGCCACCCACGTTTACCGATTCGGTCTGGGCATATTGGGCCTGTGTATTTTCCGGGATGCCAGTGCCCACAGTGGATGGACGAAATCCGTTGCCACGAAATGACACCATGGTTGAAACCACTGGTTTGTTACGGTATGTATAGGGGAGTTAACCATCAGATCCAGGGTTTCTGAACGGTGGTGCAGAATTTCGTCCATCCACAGTAGTGCATAAAAATGGCATAGTATGTGTATCTACGCCTCAGTTCTGATCAAATGGATGGGACAAACTGGTTACCACTATAACATGGTCTTCCCAAAAAAGTAGAAAGTCCAGGATTTCAGGAACTGATATACACACATGTATGTAAATACACAGGAAATCAGCCTTTCTGCCAAAATATGGCCGTTCCCGTAACTACTTTATCACTTTGAATGGGCATGCGTTTGCTATCGTAGAAAGCGTGCCTAAAACTTGCGATTCGCAAGTAACCACCGCCATTCTACATGCACAACTTCCCCTCACTCGGAAGTGACAACCTTGGCTTGGTCCTCTGACCCTCTCAGACTTCCGCCGAGCAGCCAAGCATGATCTTCCGAGGCTTGCAAGGGTTGGAGATGTCCTAAGCTGGCGGAAAGATGGACACCCCAGCCCAAACCAAAGCTATCCCCAGCGGTTCAATGGAAAACACAACCACTACAGAACCACCGTATACCAGGTGGAGTGAAAACCATCTTAGCAGAAAATTGGCCGCGATCCGAAAGATGATACGTCCCAATGAAGAGAAAACTTGCCCCCCAAGTTTTCTTGCACTTAGAGGAAATGTCATTGATGTTCCATGCTTGTCTTGGAAGGATATGTTTCTATGTGATCCGCTCAGTAGTTAAATACTCAAGCTGCCACAGTTGTCCGGCGCGTCAAACCTTAGTTCGATGTACATCGCGGTTTCAAGTGATCCTGCCCCGGACATCTGGCATGTAGGGATGCATCGCTTGTTTTTTTAACTGAACTATGCCTCAGTTGTTCAGTGGCCCGAGAAAAAAAAGGGAACCCTTTTTGGGGAAGACCATTTTCAGTGGGGCAGCCACTAAGAAAAGGGAAAAAAGGGTGCCACTGAACAAACTGAGATGCAGATGTTGGTGTTGTTTGTTTCACGCTGCTGACTACCGGGGTCTTACTATTGCAAAGAATGACTTGCGAGTCAGTCCCAATGCACATCTTGCCTGAACTTGCCACAGCCCTGACAAAGTTGGCACCCTGTCTCACACAAACAAGGAACATACCAGGGCGTCCATTTTGGAGGAAGATTGTCTTCTAGGAGCCCTCAGTGAGGCTCCATGTTGGAGGCCTCTTGCCCATACAAAATTCTAGAGTAACTGCAGTTTGGAGAGCGAATTCCATTGCAGCAGACCAGTGAATCCCAGTTGACTTATCAACTTGAAGGATTCCACCAGCTTCTTCATTCCCAGGTCAACATCTGCTGAGTAGAAACACGTCCAAGTCAGTCAAAGATTGAATGTAACAAAAAAATGCAGGATAGGAAGAAGGAGTGAAATCGTGGGCTTCTCAACAACCTGCTCAGAGTAGCACGTAGAGGTTGGTCCCTAAGAAAGCGAAAAGGACCCAATACACTGGTTTGGTCATTGGTCTGAGGTTTGGAGCAAGTTGCGTCACAAGTTTGAATCGTTGCACCAGTGTAATGGATACAAGCTGAGTTGGTTCATTCCAAGCTCACAAGCTTAGCTTTATGACCAGACGGGCTCAGACAGGAGAGGTTTTAGCGGAACAAAAAAATACCAAAAAAACTCAGCCAAAAAACTCAACTGAAAACACAGACTCAAACAAAACACAACAAATACACAGCAGGAGACTCAAACAAAACAAGGAAAACACAGCAGGAGACTCGAAAAACAAGACACAACACAGCAGGATATTTGAGTTTGTTTGAGTTTTTGTTCAGTCTGTTTTGAGTATTTTTTGAGCTTTTGTTTGAGTTGTTTTTTTTTGTGTGTTTTCTGCGGTTGTTTTTTTGCATTTTGCCCCTCCCTCACCCCCAACCCCTCCCCGACCCCCAGAACCCTCCCCAGACCCCTGCTTGAGTTGTTGCCTGAGTTGTTTTTGAGTTTTTGTTGAGTTTCTTTTGAGTCTTCCCACATTCACACTATTTCAGATTGAGTTTTTCGGATTGGTTGTTTTTGAGTTTGTTTTGTGTTTTTGCAAATTCCTGGATTTGCGGCCTGTGTGGGCGAGATCAGGTCTTAAGCTTAGCTTGTGTGAAAGTGGTCACACATGATTTTCCGACCTTTCCCTTGGCTATGACATCTAAATTAAAGAGTTTTCCAGGGGATTTCATTTTTGGCCAATGTTTCCATGTACCGATCGGATTCCAGCAGGGTGGTGGGGTCATCCGCGCATTCAATCTTGGAGTCATTCGCGCCTTCAATCCCGCAGGGTCATCTGCGCACGCAATCTTGGAGTCCTTCGCGCATTCAATCCCGGAAGTGCCCACCACAGCAGAGGGTTTGGGGGTTGGGGTTTGGGTTTGGGGTTGGCTTACATCACTTTAGGTTTTTGGGTTTGGGGTTTAGGCTTTTGGGTTTGGCTTTAGGATTTAGGGTTTGGCTTTAGGATTTAGGCTTTCGGGTTTAGGGTTTAGGGTTTAGGGTTGTGGATTTGGGCTTAGGGTTTAGGCTCTTGGGTTTGGCTTGCATCACTTTAGGTTTTAGGTTACTGTACGTTTTAGGGTTCTGGGTTTGGGTTTAAGGTTTAGGCTTTTGGGTTTGGCTCACATCACTCTAGGTTTTAGGTTACTGTAGGTTTTAGGCTTTTGGGTTTGGCTTTAGGATTTAGGCTTTTGGTCTTGGCTCGCATCACTGTAGGTTTTAGGGTTCTGGATTTGGGCTTAGGGTTTAGGCTCTTGGGTTTGGCTTGCATCACTTTAGGTTTTAGGTTACTGTAGGTTTTAGGCTTTTGGGTTTGGCTTTAGGATTTAGGCTTTTGGCCTTGGCTCGTATCACTGTAGGTCTTAGGGTTCTGGATTTGGGCTTAGGGTTTAGGCTCTTGGGTTTGGCTTGCATCACTTTAGGTTTTAGGTTACTGTAGGGTTTAGGCTTTTGGGTTTGGCTTTAGGATTTAGGCTTTTGGCCTTGGCTCGCATCACTTTAGGTTTTAGGTTACTGTAGGCTTTAGGGTTGTGGATTTGGGTTTAGGGTTTAGGCTCTTGGGTTTGGCTTGCATCACTTTAGGTTTTAGGTTACCGTACGTTTTAGGGTTCTGGGTTTGGTTTTAAGGTTTAGGCTTTTGGGTTTGGCTCACATCACTCTAGGTTTTGGGTTTTGGGTTTAGGCTTTTGGGTTTGGCTGTAGGATTTAGGCTTTTGGGCTTGGCTCGCATCACTTTAGGTTTTAGGTTACTGTAGGGTTTAGGCTTTTGGGTTTGGTTTTAAGGTTTAGGCTTTTGGGTTTGGCTCACATCACTCTAGGTTTTGGGTTTTGGGTTTAGGCTTTTGGGTTTGGCTTTAGGATTTAGGCTTTTGGGCTTGGCTCGCATCACTTTAGGTTTTAGGTTACTGTAGGGTTTAGGCTTTTGGGTTTGGCTTTAGGATTTAGGCTTTTGGGCTTGGCTCGCATCACTTTAGGTTTTAGGTTACTGTAGGCTTTAGGGTTGTGGATTTGGGCTTAGGGTTTAGGCTCTTGGGTTTGGCATGCATCACTTTAGGTTTTAGGTTACTGTACGTTTTAGGGTTCTGGGTTTGGGTTTAAGGTTTAGGCTTTTGGGTTTGGCTCACATCACTCTAGGTTTTAGGTTACTGTAGGTTTTAGGCTTTTGGGTTTGGCTTTAGGATTTAGGCTTTTGGTCTTGGCTCGCATCACTGTAGGTTTTAGGGTTCTGGATTTGGGCTTAGGGTTTAGGCTCTTGGGTTTGGCTTGCATCACTTCAGGTTTTAGGTTACTGTAGGTTTTAGGCTTTTGGGTTTGGCTTTAGGATTTAGGCTTTTGGCCTTGGCTCGTATCACTGTAGGTCTTAGGGTTCTGGATTTGGGCTTAGGGTTTAGGCTCTTGGGTTTGGCTTGCATCACTTTAGGTTTTAGGTTACTGTAGGTTTTAGGCTTTTGGGTTTGGCTTTAGGATTTAGGCTTTTGGCCTTGGCTCGCATCTCCGAGAAGGGTTTCTTGCAAACATCACACCAACCAGAGGAAAATCAAACACATGAGACTGAGAAATGATGCTTAAGTCACGCACAGAAGGAGACTCAAGACCCCTGACGAAATGCCTTCTTCAAATCTACTTGTCTACACTGAAGAATCCTTGGACACTCGCTCAGCACAACTCAAGGTAGGAAGCCCTTGAGCAGAGCTGCCTAGTGCTTGCCAGTAGCTCCAATCAAACGTGCGTTCCATGGGCAACACTCCCGCGTAGGATGCTTTACAAGGGTTGTCTAACAGCCCTATTACAAGATTGACGCTCGTCCCTACCAGCCCCAAGTAAAACGGAGACATGTCAATTTGACCCGCTCCAATTTTTCAAGCAAGGCTTACCTGCAGAAAGACCGCCAAACGTCTCTGCTTGTCAGAGGCCAGATCCCAAAGCTCCAGTGGACACAGAAACAACGCCGCCCCCTTGTTGGGGTCGTCTCCAAAACAGGCTTTGAAACCCCAAAGCAGCCCTCGAAATAGCAACATATCAACCTGCAGTGCATTTTGCTCTAACGACCTCCAGCTACTTCCAGAACCAGGCCATGCCAGCAAATCCAACAGCAGCAGTCTCCAATGACCGACCTACAAACGTCGCAGCTCGACCACTTTTCCTGGGCATGGCTGAGTCTTAGGTTTGGCCACTTTGTGACTCTCGCCACTTTACTGCGACTTGTAGGCCGCCGCGTATGCCTGCAAGCGGTTCATACACGTCTGCATGGCCTCGGCCCATGTCAAGCGACTCGAGGTGTCGATGCCGCGCGGTAACGCCTGCAGGGCCAATGTCTAAAACCCAAAGCTGTCGTACTTTCAAGCATGTTTGATATTCCTGTTTCCCTTGTTGAATTTTTTGTCAACTCCCCCCCGCCCCACCCCAAACTAAATGCTAACATCGCCAAACAGAGAGGGAGTTTGAAGACAGGACCCTAGTAGCAGCCCGCGCATTCTTGGCCTGCCTCCCGCACCACGCTGTCTGGCAGGAACCCAAAGCGTGCTTGCACGGTCTTGATCTGCCGGCATCTCTTGCGGTGCCACGCAGACTCCGTGCTGACCTCGAGCCACTCATCCCAATCTGCGCCGTCCATGGCTTTCTAGACTTGCGCCACTTGCTGCGGCAAAAGTTTTGAGTCGCAGTCCAAGCCACGCATGAGTTGGTAGCTGCTGCGCCACTCAAGGGCTCTAAGCGGCAACTTGTCAGCGCGCGTGCTTTTCGGCTCTTCTAGGCGCAACGTGATTGGACTGGTTTGAATTTCAATGTCCGTGCAAAACACAGCATCCGGGCAAATTTCACGGAATCACTGTCTTGGCTGCATGCAGCCGGGCGCAAATAAGAAATGCATCCAAGCAAATTACATGGACTCACTGTCTTGGCCGACTTCATCTGTGTCATCTGGACAACTCAGTACACGGGGCTGTCGTGGCTGCCTTCA